GATCTCGCTATTTCTCACACTATTTCCATCATACGTGAGCAGTGTTGTGAAAACATTTATGCTTAAAATCCTGTAATCCTATCTGTTTGTTTGCTGGATATTCCATATGGTGAAACAAAATTACTTACGGAATTCATTGTTCATATTTTTTATATGCATGTGAACAGTAAATTCTGTTCGGAACTCAGTCTAATAAACAATGTTGTCTATTGTGTGAAATATCAAACGATAGATACATTACCTCAGTAACCAAGTTCTACTCTTACTTGTAATCTCTTGATATCTTCGACTTCCAACGGCCATGTCTCACCACCATATCATAGAACAGAGAACTGAAGCGTGGTACACTAGTCGTTTTATCGGTAGTCAGATATCTCGCCAGCGTCACCCATGACGTAAGTCGACGAACAAACTCTTAGTATGCAAGTTGGAACCTTGTCACCAACTAAATCGTTTGAGTTGGTGAAAAGACTGAATTAGTTGGTAAATGAATAATCGGCATCGATGAGTATCGCGATCCTTCCATAGTTCTTACAGACTTAATCAAATAGAAGACACAAAACACTCTTGAATAGTATGCCGTTTAGAAGAACACTTTCAGCTCATAAAACTAATGTTATATTTACACCAGCGTATCCACGAGAGCTAGACATTGAATTTCCAAATATGTGTAACGCGAGTTTTTAACTGCATATAGACTGTGGTCAGCCGGAACATGGGCAGAAATACTAGTAGTTTTTGCTGTCAATATCATAGGGTCCTGAACAAGCAAACAGAAAACAGCCTTCAGGCCGAGAAGTAATTTGGAATTATATGCTGAAATCTAGTGTCCAGGTCTCTAATACACAGCAAACATCAATAGCGAGGCTTTTCAGTGCAGACCAAACCTGTTTATTGCTTGCTCTGCATTATACTCCAGACGCTGAAGGAAGACACAATTAACGTCACAAGTGTTTAGAGTTAGATAGATATCACACTGAAGAATAGCTTTGCAGAATCAATTGCGTTTAGTCCCTCACGATAATACAGACCAACCAGAATTTTATATAGTGACAAACAGCTAAGTAAAATAAGGATATACGTGAAAATGTTGCGGATCATAACGAGAAAACGACACAGTTCAAGTGTAAAAATAATAACAATGAAGTGACAATAAACCGAATAATTCTGTATCAAGTTTGTGGAGCGCCAAGTTTGACTGCTGACAATATTTGGCAAGAACTTCGAAGTCTCCATCGAAAATTTTGCTGATTTGTATGAGGTCTATGATGCTACTCTGACTCCTAGACAGAAGAAAATGGTTCTCTATAGAAATTACTATGTGTGCCATCGACCTAAAGGTGGGCTACATAACTCCTTTCTCCTGGTGATAAGATCTAGAGCTAGTTTTTACTAGAAGTTGCCAAATCTATTGCATTCACTTATAAATAAATCAGATTAAAGCAGTTTATCTGCTCTTATATCTTAAACATCTTTTTGACAAGACCCGATTCTTTAAAGACGTCATTAAAAACAAATGTACAATAAATCCTTGGATTTTACACCACACCATCTTAAATATTTCCGACGACATATCAACGTCCTTCACTTGACTGCTTTTTAAGGTGTCAAGGAATATTTTTCAAAAACATACTTTAGCTCCCATGAGGTTATAAGTTGGATGAAACCAACGAAAATAATACCACTATCAGACCAAGTATCTATTGACCAAGCCTATGTAAGTTGTTTTATTGTTGACCGGTTCTTGCTATTTCCAGGGTACCTAAGTATTTGTTTTTTTCTTTATCCCGATGGTTTTTCAACTACACCTTAGACCTAATTACCTGATAACGTTCATTACAACAGAGGTTGTCACGTAACGAGACGAAACTGTACTCATTTATCTTCCTAGGTAATGGCGTCTGTAAACTACCAGTATCCAATATTTGAGGGAACTGAACACCTTTCATTTGAGTAATCCTATGGTGTTTTTTTTTGAAGGCAACAACCGAATTCGTTTGGCAACTAAGAAATCAGCGAGATACTAAGAGCACTGTCAGCTGGTTTATGGCAGGTTTGAAAACAGAAATTTTGGTAAGCAGTGGTGCGTTGCACGGATCAGTGACTTCTTAATGATCTACTAGTTTACCATCAATTCATCACACCAGTTTTCTTTCGAGTCAGGTTCAAGTGTTCACTTATTAACATTGCGTGCGTATGATAAATTGTTGGAAATGGCGACCGTTAACTACTCTTACATTAAATTAATTTTGTACGGGAATTCCAGAAAATACATACAAACTACATATCACTGAGTTCTATGAAACATTTAATTGATGCTTAGGTGTCGATCAATGCCTTTATGCAACAAATAGCACATACTTAGCTTTCGTTTTTGGTTTAATACCTTTATTTCCAGCCATTTATGAGCATCACCATGCATATCTCTCACGATTACAGTCAAATGAATTCGGAGTTATTTAATGGACCAACTATATCACTCTTAAAAAGTATGAGATCTGGATAATCGATCATGTACGAACTTGCCTAAATTCGCAACACATCTTATTTATTCATCATATGCTAACTTGTTTAACTCCCACACTCATTCCAAGAATGAACTCAAAGCAGGCAGGAATAACCACATCCATATAACACGTACTAACCTGCAACTGTAAACTTCAATTTTGTCTTACCAGAAAAAGTAAATACTTGTTTGGAAAATCTAGTTACTTTTAGGAACTAACCAGATATCTAGTCAGTGCACACTGGCGTCACAAGTGTTGAAAATAAAGAGGAACTAGAGAAACTCAGTTTATACCACTAATACCTTCAGATAATGCTGCAGAAAAAATCGTCACCACTTTCTTCGCCAACGATAGACAGTACTACTTGGATTTCGACACATCGATAGGGATAGCAATTTATCGCTGCTGTGTCCATACAGAGATATTAACTTCAGCGAAGTTGTCACTGGATACAACGTTGACTGTATACATTGCCTGGATTTAGATAAAAATCTTCTAAGAACGACACTGCTTCAACGCTTGTTAGGATAACGTGGCTTACGCCAACATCTTCCAAACTCATCCAAATTAAGCAGGAATTAATGCAAGTTACGAAAAATGTTGTTAAATAGAGTTATAACGAGAGTTCGCTGCACTTCCAAAATGAAGTGATATCTCAATGTTATGCAAGCGTATTACAGCAATTTTAAACGACTGAGAAATAACCGTGATCTCCCTCTCAATCATGCAGCGAAGCCAATAATTTCCCGACAACATGTATTCCATGTAGCTATTGGCAGTTCACTAGTATTAGGAACTTATCTCTGGTCGCTGAACTTCAAAGCAAACTTTGTCAGCGGTGAGACCTAGCTGTTCATGAGTTGATTTTATACCATTAGCACCAAAATAATATGCAATTCATCTGCCAAACTAAGTTTCATATCTTCTCGACATAATAGGCAGCCTCCGACTGACAGAATGCCCACCGAGATAATGACAATAGAACTACAATCTACCTGGGGGTTCTCTATAAAGAAACGTCTCACCAAACCAAAGATCTTCACTGAGAGCATGATATCCTTCATCCAAGAGAACATCAACATACCAGGTTTCTAGGTACTCCACCATTTCCAATCCAAAACTTATTTCTCACTAATATTCCTAAAGCGCCAGTTCAAGACTAGTTTATTGTGTAACTCCAGAAACTCAAGGTGACTTATTGGTGAAACCATTGACATTTCTTCGCAAATAGTAGTACCTTACCGCTTACACTGAATGACACTTTACAACTCATTTCTAAAGAAAGAACAAAAACCAACATCAGCTCTATGGCAATAAATCCACACTGATTGGAATTTGGACAAGATACACGAACCATGGATAAACAAAATACATGGAAAAGCACAAGCAACGCTGAAAACGATATTAGCTGAGACTACTCTTCAATGACAGTCAATATCACTGAAGAACTAGGATTAGAGTAGCGAGATAATGGACTAATACAAAGACTACCTATGCGAAAGCATCACGGCAGTGTTTTATTTACTATAAATGATACCATTCTGACAATTACACCTAGCGCAAACCTGTGATCGTCGTCCTTGTCTCCTATCTTCCTAAGACCTTCGAACATAGATACGACGGCGTTCGATACAAACAGCTTGTAGCAAAGCAACCTCCGTTACAGCTAGACATGCATGCCAACCTATAAAATGACTAGTGGCTACTAGTGCGGTGTCATTTTGAAAACCTGTTTAGAGGAAGCTACTTGGGCTTGTTGTTAGGAGTCAAATACGTTACAAAGATAAAGTGCTGCGTCGTCCTAACTGCTCAGTGAAGTAAATGGGGTATCCATAACCTGATAAGAGTTTTAAATTGCATATGAAACAAACACAGGCATAAATGTGGGCAGTGAGCTGGTTGTTAAATACTTTAACAGACTGTGATAGGATATGAGCTCCCAAGGGGACAAAAATAGCTGTAAACAGCGATGCACAAACACGTCTTTATCCACGTCACTATTTAATACAGTTTGGGACGGACTAACGCATCAAAGCCTGGTCGACACACAATCACGAATAGCATCACGGACATGCTCTTTGCTTTGACATGTTTTTGTTAGCTGAGTACTCAGACATTATCTTCAGTGACGCACGGTGTAGAATTCTGATGGTTCGTAGCATGAGGATATTGAAGACTTATCTGTTACGAATGTCGAAAGTTGAGCGTCGAGACAGGTTTGGTAAGTCCAGTTCTTGATTTGCTCAACAAGCTGGGAATGTACCAGAATATATAAATATCAACTTTCACGGTGGAACATCGTATATTCGTTAACACAGACTTGGATAGTCACGGCATTCTAACCAAGATAATGTACATCTACTCCAAAAATCAGATGTCACAATGCAAATTAAAAAGACAAGGTCCGTCAACTAGATTTATTATGCAATTACTTCGTTTCCGCCTCCATTGGCACAGATCTGATGATATCGGAATCACCTAAGGCAGATTTTACTACAGTGAAAGTAAATTACCTGCGTCTTCAATAGCCAAAGTGCTCACTCTGAAATATTTCCCGCATGCAGTTCCTAAGTCGCGGTTGGTCCCATTATAATGATGTACTCCAGTTTTCGACAGCATTGCGTAGTACTCTATTTCAGTTTTCCTAAATGTAATTTAACAACACAATAAATACTCCCGATAGTTCTAATAAAAATCATTTTGAGTCTTCATAACCAACATGGGCTCAGACAATAGTAAATTTAACATACCTTAGTGGAGGAGCATTATTGGCGATTATTATCAGTCTAGCACCGCCTTTCCGCAGAAGACGAAGTGTCTGCCTCAACCCAATGGAGCATTTACCGCTCTTCATTACCAGCGCTAAGCAGCTGTTGATAGACTCCAACGCTTTCTATTAAGATTAAATTAGATATAAAATTGGCATTACAGCTTTCTTGGAGCCAGTCGCAGTCTTAGCCGTCGGAGCCATCACCAAGCGTGCGAAAATAGTCGTAACTGGCGCCAACTACGTCCAGTTACAAACAAAAACAACTAAGTCCAAAATCAAATAGACAGTGGGGTGTATTCCATAGACGTATAATCCTTATGCAGAACTGGGTTGATGAAAGATGAAACTAGATAGTATGCAATACCACACAATAAATTCGTGAAAACTAGAAAGGGCAGTGGCTGACTGCTGACATCATTGATTGAGAAAGTATTCCACCTGTCATTCGTACCTTATCAGACACTTCATTTGTTTATTAGGTGTCGTACATGCATGAGTTTCCTGTGTAAGATATTCAGATGATGTCATTCCGAACATAGTGATGCTGAAAAATAAAACTAATCCATGGTACTTTTCTCTTTCGGGCATTGCACCTAAGTTATTCTAACGGTATTCAACAGATATTGTGAAATTCCTGATCCTTCTCTGAATCAGGATGGTTGAAGATGAACTGCATTCCAGGTAGTCTGGATGGCATTTTCCATGCGCAGAATAAGCTTCAATATTACCGGTTCATTTGCTATTTTTCTTATGGTTAGCCCCACAACATTAGGTGGTTTGGTCAGCATATCTGGTCGACGAGATTTTGCACTGCACGGAAATAAGAACTTCGTAAGTGCTTGAAAACGGCAACTGGATGGCTGGGGTAATTTGGTCCAGGAGTCTTTCCCACCAGATGTTGGTTTTTTAGTCAACAGGCAAATCTTGTAGTAGATGCAGAAGGGGTGTGCAAAGGTATTGTGTTTATCTAAACGGTCAAAATTCCCTTTCACCTGGTGATGCTTTTTTAGGGGCGCACTGTGGATGGCTCACAGAGGGTTTCTACAGATCAAATGCTATTACACAAATTGTCGGTAGATAGCGTATACTTTGTGTATACCGAATACTGTCGGGATGTAGCTGATTTGTGAAATATAATATATTCAGCTCCCGTTTTCATGTGCCCAATCTGACTGGCTGTTGTCCTACATCAGGGAAATTTATTCTACACACCAATGAGAGTGGACATGAATTTGGCCTGTCGTAATCACCAACGTCCATAGCGGACATTAAGGAGATCTTTACCTATGGCAAGTCGTGGAACCAATATCTTACAACACAAAAAGTGCCAATGGTGGTCATTTTTACGTGATATGTCACAAATAATCCCTTCGAAAGGGTGTTTATTACCCGAATGAGTTATGTAGTGTTATACTGTTTGCAGAATTTCAAAGCCCGTGAGGGAATATCCACAAGAATATCAGCTCTACTGCATGCGCAGACTGGTTAAACGGCTTAACAGTGCGGACGCCTTGTTGAGCACAGTCGACAGAACAAAGAGTGAATACACTTAGGGTACTAGGACAGTAGTTCATCAGGGAAACCAAAAACATTGCGGAGGAGCTGAACTACTACATAGTCACGTCACAAATTTGGAAACGCTCGTTGCATATACAGTCATGAAGAATAGATATCACAGTCCATCGGCAGAATAAGTACAGGGAGTAAGTTGGAAAGGCAGGTGTCTTTGGATTGCGTGGTAACTCTTGGTTTTGGTAAACAGCCGTAGCATCTCAGTTTAAACCTGATTACCTTCAACAGCTTTTGACACGACACCACGGTCTTGGGTGGCTGATGTTTCAGACGCGCATCGTAAGTACCTCAGACTTGCTGGTGATAATGAGGTGTGATCATCTACAAGATGTTGATATTGGTGGCTTAGATTAGTGACTGATGTACGAAACGGCATAAAGTCTGGCAAAACCTATTAAATAATGACAATAAATGGAAAGCTAAAATGTCCTTCTGTGTATAATGCGAAACCTGACTGGCGGGACAGTTTTGTAGGTGATAATATATATTTGAACTTCTGTGTAAAGCTACTCGTGAGAATGGATATGTCCTTGTCATAGTCGGTCATCCGACAAATAAGCGCCGTCAAAGATGTCTGATTAGAGCACAGAGGTGCTTAGAAATCGGAAGAGGCGCTTGTTGAACACTGGACAATACTATGAGTCACCTTTAGAGGCAGTCCTAGTTCTGAAGGGACTCTCCTTGGAGAAATATGTTGAGCCTTCAGCAGGCAGGAGCTTTAAACCCGCTTCTACAAATTTGAGGTCAGTATATTAGCCAGATGTCTACAGTACTGTAGAACTCGTGTGACGATCACCACGAATGTAGATCTTGGGTCTTTGCCCAGAACAACTGTCTTCTGACGGTCTAGTGAATTCACTAGAGCTGAACCATCTGCCTACTCACAGTTCGAACATTCGCCATGTTCATGCAGGCCTCACTTTGCACTCCTTTAACTGGTTGTCGTCTGAACAGCTCCCAGCAACAGCACTATCGGCCACTTACTCGTGTGTGGTTGGTCATTTCGCATGATCACTAAATAAACTGAAGGGGTGTTGCGATAAATTTGTGCTAACAGCCCGTGCACACACCGAAATCAACCATTCATTAGCCGGATAATCGACAATGTTCATTTTATTACTTGGAAGATGAAGTCAGTTGTATGCGTGAATCTGTCTTTAGGGATCCATTGAGACGCCTTTTGGTTCTCATGAAGAACTACGGTGGTTGCTAATTAATTGCGGTTAGGAATGTCGCAGGATGGAGAGTAATGATGATAATTGTTTTATTCCAGGCGGAACGTATAGTGCGGCATGGAGTTCACAGCACGTAATACTTCAAGAGGTTCATTCCATGCACAACGTCTTTCGGAGAATTATTCATGGCATTGGAATAATGCTAATAATACCAGTGATGGGAGCCTCAGTCTGAAATAGCGCCTGGTATTACGCAAAAGCCCGGTTTTGAGCGGTAAATACATATGCAATCTGGGGCAATCTTGGTGGTAGTAGCTGACCCAGCCAGTACGAAACTCTGCAGTTAGACACAGTTACCTAGGGAACAGTAATGCTTCGTGTTACCGTGCGTTTATGAGCCGTTTCTATTGCCATAGTACCGTTTTTCATTGTTAACTGAAAAAACGGCAGTTTGAAACCGCTTTAAAAGTGTGCAAGAATGCAACACACGTTCCAAAGACACAGTGAAAAAATTAAAACAAGTCGAGAGGAAGAAATGCAATGAAATATGTGCCGTGTAAAACTTTGGTAGCCCTGACTCTAAGCATGTCGCCTTATTATCATTATTAGAATTGTTTACATACATGCTGAGAACTGGCGCGTTGTAAGCCTCAGAAACTGGTCAGTCTATTACGAAGTGCTTCAGAACTTCAGATGCTTACTGCTTTACACACCTAGCCCCTCCCTATAATGATAGGCTACATGGACATAACTTAAGCAACTCTAAATTCCCAAATTAACGCCCACTGGTGCGTTAATGACAACACACATTTTTCCATCAAAGCTTTTCACTCATGTCCCTCATAACAATGGAAATGCCACTCACTTTAGTACATCCCACCCTCAAAATCTTTCTAACGTCTTCCTGTGATGAAAACGGTAATATACCACCACATGTCATGGCTAGAAAAACTTCAGATATCTGCCCAATACTTGGGTGAAATTTCTGTAGTTTATGCAGTGCTATTATCCTGTGATTCTGGAGCAACGGTGTCCACCAGTTTTCTGGCGAGTTGGTCCCCAATTTCTGAAAGCTCTAAGAACGCCTATAAAATCTTTATTCCTTGGCGTACTAACACAGAAGTTTAGACCGCATCGGTTATTATTCGGGGGCATAGGAGTTGCAACGCTTATATTCATCCATATTATGCGCACGGAACTCCAGGATGGTGGACAGTAAATGTTTCGAGGTGTGGGAACCAATGGGCGTCGGGGAAGCTCTAGATTCAGGTCAAAATATAAGCTCTCTCATAAAAGGCCTAGCTGTCGAAAACACTATATGACTATTCTTGTTAAAAATGGGGGCGTTACTCGTGGTCTTACTGGTTCTTGCTCACCCTCGCTTACTTGGCGAATTTGCGCATCTGTGATGACAGTATACCTTTGCAGCTGTTTCCCTTTTAAACATCAAACTTCCTATGTAATGCCATCTTCTGAATAAATGCTGTGTTTAACGGTGCCGGAGTATTATAGAACTCCATCATTCTTTTAAAATGTGGGGTCGAAGACAGTCCTCACTTCATTTTCGAGGCCTTTATGTGTCTCTATCAAACGGAGCTCACTGTAAGGCGTGAAAAACCAAAAGCATGGCCTCCAAATGCAATCCGGTACCCTGTTTAAGTGTTACCAGCAGCAGTTCAATGGACATAACTTCAGAAATACCGAGTGTCTTCGAAAAGCTTGTTTCAAACAGGTATGAAGCGCCTTGCTCCAGAGCTACATCAGCTGGATGTGTGTCACTGGTCGGCAAAGCTATTCTCTTTGTACCATCTTTTGCCAACCTAGGTTTGAAGTACTCATCGGGTCTGGGCTTTACGGATTATACTAACTGCCAGATCTGCAAGGCACAAGAGGTTTCTAGACCACTGTTCTACAACTCGGGTGCGTTAGAAAGTAAAATTGCCCTGCATAAACCTTGCATCGGTTCGTTACTTGAATTTTGTCTTCCAATTACGGGTAGTGTTTGCGTTAGGAACGGGGGGAATACGGGGGGTGTAGAAAGCAGACATACTGAAGGATCAGTGCATAACGATTCTAATAGATAATGGCATGGTGGTTGTGACCAGCGATAAGTGAATCCACTGTGGTTTAGAAGACTCAGAGTGGGCGTGAATGTTATCTGTGGGATGGTCGATAGGCCTATGTACTTCATCGATACAGCAAATACAACCTGCAACACCAAGCTCCCGCTTTCAGAGCATCCCACTGTCGTACAAGACTCAGGAAAGGTTTCTTTGTTAGTAATGATGATGATATTTATTCCTCAGTATGCAGGCACACACCATTTTTACGGGTATAAATGAGTTTCTACATAAGCTACATGTGTCTCCATGGCAGGTAATCTGAATCCCCACCTATTCTGTCACTAGAGGATATGGTTGCCGAACGTTTATATAATAAAACACCCCAGCAGAA